TCCGCCGGAAAAATGAGTTATGATCAGCACCTGGTTTCCGTATTGCGCAAGCCCCCTTGATCGCGCCGATGTATCCGTGCATCCCAGTCGGACTCAATTTCATTTACAACTTGATATCAGCAAGCTTAATTGTTCAATTGACGCATTTTTTGTATATATTTATATATACAAAATGAGAAATAACCATAAATTCCGTGAACCTAAGCTGCAGAACCTTGGAATGTTGAGTCACATATGGATTCAATTGGATAGAGGTAATTTTAGCCTAGGTGACAGGAAAGGTGGTTGGAAACAGAGTTGTGTGGTCGGGACGGGGTACGCACCTGATGCATACACACATCAGTGCTCGCAAGTGAAGCTGAATCAACACATTTCCGATGGCAACCCTGGGCACGACCACCACCACCCCACACACACACTAACACCCAATGGTTTTGTTCCATCCGCCATATTTGATTCCCATTTTGATGTTCTTTCCCCCCTTCCCTTTGATTTGGTTTATTTTCGTTGTTCCCGTACACAGAGTTATATCACAGTTTTCCGTTTTCTGTTCAGTGAGGTCACGTGATTTGCATCGCTGCTCAGGCCCAGTGGTGTCCGGAGCTTGAGTAAGGTTTTATTGTGTACTTTGTGCGTGCTCGTGTGGTCAGAAGCAATGTCGTTGCTCACTACACGATAAATATTTCAGACTGTGTATACTTGTTTGATTGGATGAATTGAGGATTCTACGTTAAGGTCAAGTCTGAGCGGAGGTTCTGTAGTGAAGACACGGGCGCAGCCATTTTGATTTACTTGTAAGCTTTGTGCATGGCTCACTTGACCTTTTGTTTCATGGTTGTGTTTGTATTTTCCCTGTCTTGCAGGTCGGTTGGAAGCCCCTACACGGAGAACCTACTGTGAGAAGTGAGTCCTACCTGTGTATTGAGAGCGTCAGTGAGTGACCAGGAGCTAAGTGTGGCCTTTTATGAAGACGCTAATTGTATAAGAACTCGGACTGCGTTGTCCGGAATCAATCTGCCAGTGTATTTGGAGTGGATTCAGAACTTGGGTTGGTCCTGCATACTACAGTTCAGTCTAAATCTACTACATAGATTAACGGAAAAAAATTCAAGCTCCCGTATAACTACCTTGTTTCGGTCTGAAAAATCACAATCGGACATTCTAAAATCAATGGTAACCAAGACTCCGGTTCTAGATTCTCATATATATATGTATATATATATATATATATATATATATATATATATATATATATATATATATATATTCCCATTAAGCCACCACCAGCACACATTTTGAATAGAATACAATTTCTCGAACAATATTTTTTTTCAGTGACTTGTCCACTTTGACTAACACATCCCAATTTGTCATTTGGATAAACAAAAACAGGAGAGCGGTTTGAGTTCGTGAAAAAAGAGAATGAATCAAGTTGAAAAAAACTAGATAATTTCTGCTAGTTCCGTTATATCTAGTCCGGAGGTTTGACCTCATCGTCATTCGCGTGTTTCCACAGGCAGTTTACCATCATCTTGCGTCGGAGATGCACAATCTCGATCAATGTCGAGTTGATGTTGTTTTACTACCACCGCGATCGGCACCCTGTCCCTCGCTTTCCTTCTAGTGAGGAACATTTCTGGACGTGGCCGGTTATTTCAATTTAATGAGAATACTACTTGAATTATCGGATTAGTAGAATTTTACCCCTGAGTAATTGCAAGAACACTGTACTTGAATTTCCTCGACACCCTAAGATTATTTAAGATTCATCTCAGGGACTTTGCAGCGTTCCGTACTGATAGAAATTAAATATATCGACCCCTAATTAGATACGGGAAACATCACATTTCCCCCTTTGATGACTTTTGTTAGTTACAATTTTTCTTTGAATAGGAAAATCTTTTCTCCGACATTTTGGTGTGAATCAACCTGGCAGTTCGTTTGTTTACCGGTGTGTAGTCAAGTCAAGTCAATCCAAGTATTTGCTTTATGCATCCCGAAAGGTGGATATTCAGCAGTCACATAGTCAACCAACAATTATCGAACAAACATATAACAGAATTATCGTAAGCGATGAAAAAGAAAATAATTTACGAGGTCACTGAGTGAAGTTCCGAAGCTATGCGTTCTGGGCTGACAAGAAAACGGGCAAGATAGGGCACCACAGAAGACCGATAGGCGTTCGTACGATCAAATATACAATTATAGCGGGACCGGGTGGAAGAGGAGGATACACACTTAATATGATCTTAATGTAAAATATGTGAAGGGTTGCCTGTGATGTTTGCTGATAACGAAAAGCATGACTTTTTATGTTGGGAAATGATGAAGCGACTGATAGTTTCACGGGAAATCCCGCTACTTCTTGATAAATGTTCTAATGATCTGCAAAGCAATTTAAAGTCCTTTTTGGGCATTCCTGGGGACCCGCACAACCATAGGGGTAAAACACAGGCAAAAAGAAAACGTTTAATCAAGAACAGAGCGACGGATAGTGTTTTCAGTCGTAAGACATAAAATGATAGTTTCCTGACCTTTCCAAATACGGAAACAACTCGGTCAGACGAGCATACGTTTCGGTTAATTCACACACCAAGATATTTGACATTTGGGGGTTGGACAATAGTATCATCGCAAACGTTTAACGTGGGACAGGATTCCAGGAAATTAGCATAACGATTCCTTCTGTGAAGTGAGAACAGCATGGGATTGAGAGTTAAGTTATGCTCAGTGGACTACTCAACAAGGTTAGTAAGGCCAAGTTGGAGGGTGGAGGTGACAGATGCATCAAGGTGGGCGATTCCAACCACAATATCGTCCGCATATTTAATGAACAGGGAATTTTGAAAAGTAGGCATGGATAAAATATAAGTGGAAAAGAAAAACGGGGTTAGAATCGCACTCTGTAATACGCCTAGTGTAGAAATTAAGGAAAAGGAGGAACGGTCAAGGTAATGTGTGAACTGTGATCGATTTATGAAATAGTTAGTGAGTACAGCAGAGATGGTTAGCAATATTTCGTTGGAAGGCAAAATATTTAACAGCATAGACCTGTCAACACATTTGAAGGCGTCACTGCAATCCAAGAAACAAATTCTGACAGCCTTCTTGTTTCCATCGATTGCTGACATAATGTAATGAACCAGAGAAGTTAGGGCATCTAGTTTGGAGCGAGAGCGACAGTACGCAAATTGATTTATTAAATTGGTATATCATAATGGCATATTGAACGTGAGTTACATCATCTGATCAGTCTGTTGGCCATTTCTTGTTGCATAAAAAGTTAGCTACTTATTGTCAAATAAATCAGTGATCAAAACGATTTGACCCACTAGATTTTTATGAGAAAATGACATGACTTTGAAAACAAATCATTGATCGATCGATGCATTGAAAATAGAAACTAAGATGTTGACAGAGTATTGAAAATCGGTTCTCGTAGCCCGGGTCAGCTGAGTTCCATTTCGCCTGTTCGCCGAGCTTGGCAATTTGTGTGTAAACGTTTCATCACCATCCGAGGTGGCATCATCAGTGCTTGTGAAATGGCAATCTTCTGCTTGTGTTCGTTTGTTTATATGTGTTCTTCTCCATCGACCATTTATGTCCCTTGTTCTCATTGTGTTCGACTCGATTCGCCGTGAAACTGATGCGTGAGTGTAAGGTTGGTAGGGGAGGAGGAGATCTTCCTAACGCCCAACAGTGACCTAATACAATCACAGGATAGGTCACAAGTGGGAATAAACAGTGGCAGTATCCACGAGTCAGTGAACACATGAATCCCTCGCCCGACCACAGTTCTTGTTTCCTGCCGTCACAGTTTCTCGACCCCCTGGGAAGAGTCCCCACAATGACATTCGCCCTGTTTTGGGCGTACTCTACTCATTTTGTGATGCATTGACCAGCACGTCACTATCAACGATTCGGCGACAACCGCACCACCAATGTGTGGGATTGGAGCTGGGGCCAGCAGTACCATTTGCGTAATGGCAATGCGAATGTGAATGGATAGAATAAATTGCATTCCTCTGCAAGGCCAACATTCCAATCTTTCCTAAATGCCTTCGTACAAATGGGTAACATAAAGACACCGCTCCAGATTGCACAAATCTAAATAATGAAATACATTACAATAGACCGCTCACTTTACGACTTTCTCGTTCAATTGCCGCATTCACGCGTTGGTAGAGTTGGTCCACCGGCATTTGTTCCATATGTGTCGGGCTACCCATCGACCCACGCACATCGATCGGCTGCTCGTCAAATCCTACCAGACGGCCCGTTTCGTTACTTTTTAGACAGGGGATGAACATGGTGTCAGGGCGAAGGGGGGCGGGGCGGGAGGGATAGTCAGGGGAAGTAGAGAATCATTAAGAAGACGACCACCATGAAACATGTTCTCACTCGGTCATCCACTTCCTTTCAGTTCATGAAGAACGTTACACGAGACATCTGCGCATGACAAATCACTACCAACCACCAAAATTTCACTCTTTTGATAATACAATTGTCCGTTCATCTATTCCTTTATTCCTTATGTCGATGCGTTACAAAGCGCGATATACCACCAAAATTCGTTTTTCATTTATCCAAATGTCTCATTTTTTACGCTTCCTTGGCTTTGATTGTGATGGCTGGTATTTTTATAGTATACTGGGCAACGGAGCACACATTACTCACATTTTATCAACTAACAACTTAGTTTTACAAATCCCTCTGAATGAACAAATGGAGATTTTCCCCATTGAAGAGTACCCGATAGTATTGCATTCCTGATACATGTTCTGATATATTCGTGATCGATGAATCTTTAACCCACACTGAGATGTATAAGATACATCGGTGCAATTTTTGGCCGTGGTTTTGCTTGGTCTGTACCTTCAACTTCCGTTTTTCGTGTAACTGAAAAAAGGCTCTGGTTCCGTTTTACTAGTCTTACTTATTCCTTTATATCTCTTCTTTTGATCAGATGATATAGGCTTGACATTTATCACACATGTTATGTGCTTTCTTTGCAATCTTCTTTGGTCTGCCCGCTAGGGTTACAAACGGAATGCTTAATCCTTCAGGTGTCTATCTGTGTGCAGTGAAGTATTTCGTATCCAAATGGATTAATCAATGGCTTTCAAACATCGCCGGGTCTGTGATCCGTTTTTGGGGACAACCATAACCAATCCCACACTTTTTCCCTGCCTATCGATTTCTCTAAATGCATGTCAAAACCCAGAACTCGTTCCAGACTCCAGCATCTACTCACTCGAACGTGCAAATGCCAATACTCCGTCCTGGTCAGGTTATGCTATCGCCCCTAGACGTATGCACAATATAATTGGTTTGAAACGTCCAAAACGGATAAGTAAATACTTTGAGAATAAAGAGCAAAAAAATATCCCAGAGGGACGGTTGATTCATTCCATAGAAGACATGATTCAATGCTCGTGCATACCGAGTGTTGATCAAGTGGTGAAGATCTCCAAGTTATTGCCCCAGAGGACGTGTGTTCGAATCTCACCACCACTACCACCACCACCACCACCACCACCAACAACAACAACAACAACAACAACAACGCCTGTCTTTTCTTATTGTGCGTTGTATGATAGCCTTTTGATAGGCCGCTTACCCTTTCTTGAAGATTGTCTCACAGATAATCAGATTACAGACGGAATACTCCGAAATTTAAGGTGTCATGTTCGTTCCAAATCACTGCGAAGCAATAATCAAAACAATGGACTTCGGTTCCCGAGAAAAAGCGAATGCTGTAGTGGGCAGACATGAGGCAAAGTGAAATCCCAGTTAGACTTTCCGAGGAAACATCCCGATCGAATCATTTTATGCAAAATGCATCTCACACTTACCGACTGTATTTTGCTAACTCTTTCCGGTAGGCGTTCAACTGCGTCTCCATCGCCGTGTTACTTTCAAGCAACTGATCAACCTCAGCTAAGCTATTTGCTTTGGGTGCCGGAGTTTGATCCGTGGCTGTCAAAGCCAGGTGCTCCAACTGGCCGCTCAAATACGGCAAGGAATAGTCCGATCGGTTCAAATCTGCACGGAGCTGGAAGGGGCAGGAGTTGACTGGGGCACTGGCGGCTGCCGCGCCAGCAGTCCCGGAGCGAGGCTGATCGCCGTACTGTTTTGACCACCACTGAGGCAAATCCATGGCCAGTGCCAGTGCAATGGAGTGCAGCAGGCGAACGTATGCTTTCCAGCGAGACCGTTGTTCCTCTACTCGACTCTGTTACAGCATTGGAGTGAAGTGAATTGGATACATTAGTGTACTATTGTGCTCTAAAGCTCCGTTTTTTCGAATGGCTAGGGATATGATACCAAAGAAGAGTGTTGTACATCAATCGGTATTCGTAGATTACTGTACACCCCTATCCCGATTGATTTGACATGAACTTTCGTCTTAATTGTAGCGGTTAACAATCAACGCCTACAAGTCAAAATACCAGGGAAGCTATAATCTACAGAAACCAGTGTTATTTGTTTATAAACCAAATCAAATCTACTAAACTACAAGTACACAGGGGAGGTATACACAAGCTGCATAGGTCAAGGAGAATGATGAAAAAGATCATAGGACCACGGAATTATGCATTTTTCCACAATCTCTTCAAGCAAAATTCTGCTTTTTGGTGAGTTATGTAGACCAACATAAAAAACACTTATTTTTAATTACTGGCTTTTCCCCGATCAACAGCTCATTGCGAAATGCTTGCCAGTGGTTTTGCAGCCTACTTCTACAATTTTCTTCGAAAGAGATTTCAAATTACGAAATAGAATAACTGATTACATAACGAACTACCGTTTTCCACATGACAGTTGAGGAGCGACGATAACAACCGAGCCTCTAGTGAAGAAGAATGCTCCAATGATCCTGGTCTCATAGCACACACCTGGCCACACAGAACATGAATGACTGTTGTCGCCCCCCCCCCCTACCTCGCCCCTTCTTGATCAAAGGCGAATGAGTCATACATGAGCTGGACAAATTTACGCATTGATGGGCTTCATAGTGATAGTGAAATCACTTGATTCGACACGTTTTCGCAGTTTGCATTCTCTTCGTGTATAGCCAAACAACTCTTGAGTATTGCCGGCCGGATGATCGGCGTGGCACCGAGACAATCCAACACAATCTTTTAACTGGTTTGAACATGTCCCCGTCCGTTCATAAATGTATGTATGTTCTATCCTCAGCACATGCAGTCAGTCCATTTGTAGTTTCATATAACAAAATAACCATAACGTACTATTCATTGTTTTCAGCACGACTGTTGTCTACATCTTCATGGCCACTTTGACATTTAATGAAATGCCACGAAGAATGAGGTCCAAACAATCTCCCTCTATCATGCTCTCGGTGGTAATCGAAAACATGTTGTGTTCAAACTCGCATAGACTGACTGTTGTTCAGTGAGACACATCTACAGAGAGAGAAAGAGCGCTAACTACTTGTCACAAATCGATGGCTCTTAACCGGAAGATAGTCAAGGTAGGAAGATACTTGGCGAGTGATGGGTCATGTCTTGGTTTTGTGCAAATTTCTGGCATTCTTTAATTGACGTCGATCGATACCCACTTGCAGCGAACACAACAACAAATGTCCACGTGCACTGATAAATACTTTGCCAAGGGGACTGCACAAAAAGGTGGACGTAAATCGTAGCCCGGACAAAACGTGAATCTCTGCGTCGGTATATACCAAAAATGCTTACACATCATCAAAACCCAAGCAACAGAAATAACAGGATTTCAGTGAGAGGACCTATGAGATAGAAACGTCAACCATCTACAATCTGCGAGGGCATCTTGAATGCGAAATACAGAGTATTGGGAAATGCAGTCCAACTGGCTAACTGGTATTCGATTCCTCCAGCGATTACAACACACGCTTCCCATGGTCGATTTGAATGCAAGCAAATTGCGGTGATCCAAGCCTGCGAGATGACGCACATCTTGAAGTGACACTTTACAGTTTTAGGAAAACTGTGATCAATCAAGCATCCTGGGTGACGATAGCAATGCGCGTACGTGTCACAGCTTCTGGACTACATACTATCGCTCGATTGTACCAGCCAATCAGAAACCATGCGGCCCAGATAGATGCTGAACAACGGCAGAAATACTAGAAATCGACTTGTTTGGATGATCAATGAGCTTGTTTTGTACATATTATTGAATCCCCCCTTTTTCTTTCAATAGACGAACAACTACTCCTGTGGCCTTCACCTAATGTCTCAGTTACGTGGGATATTACGTGCAAGTGCCAGTATGATCCAGTGCTTACGTGATTTGTATAGCGTGGTTTGTTTTCCGCGTTCATTGCCTACTACTACTACAACTACTGCACATATTCAATGGAGGAGATGCACGAAGCGACCAAATTTCCTGAGACAGCATGATGCGCTAGTTTTTGATGGTCTCCCTACAACACCACTGGAAGCTAGCAAGCCGCGATCGTCCGGCAGGCCAAAAATTGCTATTCTGGAACAGTTTGGTTACAGAAAAATTCGCTTCCCTTTCGAAGGATCGACGGTTATCTTTAAAAGACTTTGAACTGCGAGTTTGACAACTACCGTCGAATAAGCTTTATTCCCGTATAATCTTATTCTCCGGCGCCCATCCAAATTCATAAATTATTCAAATAGCGAAAGGAACTAAATTCTTAGGAATGCACTAAATTTTATGATCGTCACATACGTATTGATCGAAATTTCACCTATTTGAGGATCATCACACGGTTTAAAAGCGTAGTGTCAATTGTTGTTTAAAACATCATTCTTTGAAAAATGCTGGACCCCGTTTACTATCCAATAACATATCGCATCACTAAGGAACACGTCACCAGAGTCACGTAAAAAATAGATCCAATGTTACGCGACAGACGACGGTATGTACACAGAAAATTACATTGTTTAAAGGAATAGCCACTTAAAAACAAGGCTGAAATTAGTCAAATGTGTCAGAAGAGTTTATCGGGAACTGGTGGGTGCAGTTCTTCTGGACATAAGTCGAGTTGTTTTACATCAATTTCAGAGAAATTGTTTAAAAAAGTTATTTACATGGTCCCATTCCCCTTTTTGTAACACACAGTTACATTATCAAACTTTCTATTGGTTATATCCCATTATTTGCTTCCAAGAGTATTTGATGAAGTCAATCCACCTAACGTGGAACTGGGGGAATCGTTCATTTCGCCTCGGTGCTGGTCAATATCCTCTTCTCACCAGAACAGCTATTGCTCTGTCTGTCACATTGTGAAAATTGTTATCGACTTCACTGCATTTTCGCAAACAAAATTTTGATTTGACAAGACCGCTGAATTATTGTCCATTTCTGTTGGGAAGACCCCAAATGGAAAGGTTTCTTTCGCAGTTAGTACAACATCTGGTATCGGATAAATCGGTCTGGTCTACTGGGCTCATATCGTAATTCTTAAGCCTATGAATACAGCACTACGCTACCAAATGAACATATCCTTTCGAACAGGCTCGGATTTGTGTAAAGCAAAACAGGGCTTTTTGTGAAAGATTGATGTGATTCACGGTTACACCCGCATTGTTCAACTGAAAGCCAATGAATTCCATTGAATGATTCGAGAAAATTCCAATGGTCACCTTAGACCAATCTACAGTGAACCAAGAGGTGATTGAGTGAACAGTTGATTTACAATTAGCTCACTGTTATTTGCGGCCAGTGAGTGGTGGGAGACAACTGATGTTGACTTGGACTGCTCATTCTTCGGTTAAATGTGAGTTAATACCCAGCCTTGTAAGTTTTGGGCAATTTAGCCAAAACTTGTATGAAAGACCTGATTTGGTGGTAGGTTTCCGATTGAAGTTAACAAATAGTCATCTGTCTTCTTTCGTTGCTGTCTGGTCATCACTGAAAGGGAACCCAGTATGAGCTAGTAACATATGACTGGCATTCGATAGGTCCGCAGTTCGAAACCCAAACGGAATGATGAATATGCACTAGTGATGAGCTCTCATGAGAGCGAAACCCAAATCTATACTGGTTCCGAGTGTATGTTTGACCGGAGGAACTGAGAATGGTGTGTGTAGGTTAAGTAGGAAGGATGAACAACTGTTAGTGTCATTGTGTCTTGACATGGGTTTTCTCATCTGAGATATTGGGAATTAACAAATGCACTTTTCCAGTAACATTTTTTTGGATCTTCCTCCTATTCCCATGGTACGTTGGGGTGCTGTCACGGGGGAACTGTTTCATCAGTTCGTTACTGCTCGATGTTGCACAGTGGTAACACGTGCCTTCCTTGCGGGACTTCCAGAAATCAAATCCCGGACGGGTGGTTTGACATGCACCATTGGTGAGCTCTAACATGAATGAACTCGAGTTTGGTGCTTTCATAGAGCACGATTGATTGGACGAACCAAGAACTTTGGGTTTAGACGAAGTCTGAAGGATGGTCCGTCCAAATCAAGTACAAAAATGTAAAAAAATGTCAAACATTTTTCATCAATTTCAATAACTAGAATGGCTAACAGATCGACCTTTTCCTTATCCGTTATGCACACAGATTCATCTTAAAATTGGAGAACAATCAAGCAATAAATGTTGCTTCAGTCTGGCATACAAGAAACTGTAGACAAAATAGGTCAATGGTTTTTCATAAACAGACCTGAATTGCCATCGCTGTGGCATGCAAATTCGCGTGGTTCAGTTCTAACTCGTGTGCTCGTTGAACACTGTCCAACGCGATCAGACCAAGGGGACGGGCATTCGGTTGAACCAGATAGTGCAATGTGGCAATGGTCTGCGGATTGAATGGGACCTCACGCAAATCACACCCGGTCACATCGCATGTGCCGAGTTGTGGACATCGGGATCCGTCCAATCCGGTCGCATTATCATTCAACGCGGAGTGAACAAGTTCATGTGCCAAATCATGCACCCGTGTGATATGCTTCTTGCCCTCCGCGCCAATCTCTTTGAGAAGAACCTCGTGCGAGGTAAATTTGGTGACGGCTTCCATGCCTGAAGAAGGCAGTGCGCCAGTTAGTGTTCGCGGTGTTGTGTCCAGCGCACCCCCTTGTTGACCTGTGGGTGATATAAGTTTGAAATTGATTGAGGTCATCCAGCGCTCGGTATCTTGGGCTTCTTGACGAAACAGAATGATGAGGTCCTCCACGTCTCGTAGCCAGCATGTTCTCCGCTGCGTGTGTGTGTGTAAAATGACACAGGAGAATACGCACTAGTGTTGATCAAACTCACACTAAAGTTCGATGCAAAACAAACGGAATCAAATCCTGCACTACTCAGACAACAAGTAGTCATGCTTGGTATGTTTCCACCGAGTCATGACCACAGAGGCTAGTACCGAGATGAACACCATGTGTGATGCAACGCGCTTACAAAGATGACTAGTGCTACATCTCACCTATTCGGGTTATCAAATGGGCAGTGTTATAAATACACGACACGATGCGGGGCCGAGGATAGTTAATGAAACGGTCTACCAGCAGATGCACGTTCTTGTATTTACCATACTAAACACAGCAATTCACTCCAACAAGTCTTGTTCACTTTTGACCGTTGAAAGAATCGGCCAGTTGCATCCTTTTGCGCGCTACTCACAAATGTGAGTAGTAAGTCACGATAGTAGTATGAGTGCGTTCTGCCAGTGAGGTTCCTGATCCAATCCTCATTTGAGTCGATGAATTCGCATTACTACTAGTCGAAAACAAGGTAGTCAAAACAACTGTTTTCGCTGGTTATTAGGGCTCACACTTTCCGTTTGTGCTGCATCGGAAGAAATTCACTGTACGAAATCATGAAACGTGCACAGGAAATTTCATTTTGATAATTTGTAGCTTGCGTTCACATTTACGATATTATTAACCAGACAGTGAATAATTTCATTGCTGTTCTCAAGTCGATGAGTTGAGAGGCGGATGAATGTATGTGTGTGTGTTTGGTGAATTGACAACGCACGATGAAACTTCGATAGACCACGTTCGTAACGGGTATGAATTAATTCCATGCGAAAATAGTTCTTGCGCATGAAAACAAGGTGAACACACAAATATATACTATGGATATTTTAGTTGACATAAATCACACTGAAAAACATTTGCATCGTGCTCATTCTTGGTTACCCGGGTTTGTTTCCGCATTGACGATCATGATGATTATGTAACAATAACGCAATAACACCGTTTCGACCTTTGTGTATGCTGTGTCCACATCGATACGATTGGATTCTCGAGAGAGATAACTGTTTTTGGTGTTTGTTGAACAATGATCGAACGAGATTGTGTGTGTGTGCATGCCCGCGCGCGTGCTTGCTTTCGCTCATTGATGTGTTGTGATGTGTTGCTCGGTTTCCTCCAAGGATTGATGGCACATGGATATTACCACTGATGTGATAAGCTGATCCCGGGAGAGGAGTATTCCAGGGCAAACTTCTAATGTGAAAGCATTCCTTGTCATCTAGAGCCCTGATTAATGTGCCTTCGTGCTCCCGAGATCGCCCATAGATTTATACACGCCGGGCAAATTGTCATCCGCGTCCGTGTTGTGTTTGCCCCACTTGCTTACCCTTTTATTTTTATTGTCTACAGCAGCGGTTCCTTCTGCAGACGACAAACTCCACAATAACATTTTATAGAACTCTTTAAACATTTGAAATGTAGGCGTCTCAGATATGTTGCAGTTTGAGGGTGTCTTGTATCTCCAAGTGGGTAAACTACCTCGAATGCTCACGGGTTAGTGTGGTCATAAATCCCTCCTCCCGTAACAGACCTGTTTGTTCAAATACTGCTACTACTCCATGTACAGATGATTATCCAGAGTTCAGTTATAAAACGCAGCGTGTAATGGGGTAAATGTAGCCGAATTCTTTGTCCTTGGCATACAAAGTGATTAATGTTGCTTGACATGTAGATACACATTACTTCATAGTGGTCAATCTGGTATTGTTTTCCCATTTGGGCGGTCATAAAATTTAGAATGAGAATACGAATACCAGTATTTTATTTTCTCGTACTCTAAGATTCCTTTGATTTTATATCCTTGGATTTACTGATGGAACATCGAATTACGAACACCATTTCAGTAACAACTTTGAGGCACCTGATCAACTTGATCGGTGACATTCAATGCGAACTTCAGCTCTCATTCACCGGGTGATCATCAACCCGAAAAAACACACTTGTGAGTCGTCAGTGGTGTGGCCTACGTAAACCTTTGAAACGAGGCAGAAGTAGTGAAAGTTCAAATCAGACCACAGACCACTCACATCGGATGGCACGTGACTGGTGGGCCTTGCTATTCACTTAAGCAGTACTGACAGATCCGATGTTTTTATTGATCGGTATTTCATCCGTCGGCCGTGAGATCGATTCAGTTCATTGATTTGTTTGTTTTATTTCCAAATCGGGAGCATACAGATAAAACGTCTGGTGGAGGAGGTGGGACCTGATTTCAAATCTCATTACATAGTCTTTTCGGCTGCATACGGTAAATTGAATACTGCGAATAGGTGGACTATCCTGACAATGGTTCATCTGCTGAGAGTCAAGCAATGACGGACTGAAATATGTGATACTCATCTGCGATGTTTTTCAAAAGAGCAACTGTAAACTCATCTCGATAGGTTTCAAATGAATTTCACATTGTTCAGGGTGTTGGTCACTGCAAGTTTGAACTCGCGTTATTCGATTGCGAACAAAATTCTCAGGACTGCAGTTATTCATTTAAATAATGGTCTATTAAGTGATCGGTGTGGGTTGAGTGGCAAGGTCGTCAATATACTTGAGTGCAAATACATCCACGGACTCACCTGGATTCGAGTGCGCATGTGCGCAATACGCTCAGTCAATTCTCTCACATTGCGAGCCAGATTCGGCGGGAGATTCTCGGGTTTTTCTTTGCGCAGCTCATCTGCGTCTGAATCCTTTTGTTCTGCTTCAGACAGTAGAGTCTAGAACCCACCGGGGGTTGAGTGAGGATGGTAGTGAGAAGAGAAATGTCATTTTTTTAAATGTCAATATATATTATACAATGTACGATATTAGAACGACTCGATAGATCCTTCTTCTGGAATCTAAGAACTTGCTGTTGAGTTGGACATTTTGTTTCCAAATCTATCATCATCAACAGAGTTGACGTCTTTCCAATTAGGGCTAATCTGATTATTTTGAAAATCTAATGCTACGATGTATGGAAAACGGCACCACCTGATATATTGAACGTGAAATGGTGATAGAATGCGGTTCAGACTTGGAACCGTTTTTCTGTCTTAAACTACTCACAGCATAATCAGTAGCCTCATTATATAAGCAATGTTTTGTGATGTGATGTACCAAATACCTGTCCGAATATTTCATTTTTCTCGCTACCGCGTCCGTGCTTTACTTGCAAACATTTGAACCATCGATAAGTAGTGAATCTTTATATACACTTGTGGTCAGAGTTAAGAAGCCTCCTTTACTCTATCGGAAAACTTCACACACACAAGCCTATTTAACGGCCTAGAACAGTGCTCACAAGTCCTTGAGAGTGGAACAAGATGCAATCAGACCCCAAGTCGATCCCCATTCACATTTGATGAATTATCAGTAATCTGGGACAAATGGAAGGCAACATAGAAGGGCGATTTTATGAATTTGGAGGAGTCACTTTTCGGGTGAGCCACTTTTAAAACTGGAATCTGTCTTTCCCGGTACCAGTATTTGCGGATTTGTTCATGCTCAAGCAATAAACGTCCAGAATTAGGCAATGCAAACGGTGCAAGTAATATGTCAACGAAATATCATGTTTTGTATACAGCAATACTCAGGCGCCAGACGCATTAAAGATAATTAATTCCGCTCACTCCTGCATTAAATTCACTTCGAAGGAAGAGTATAATGACAAGATTGGTTTCCCCGACTTCTGGTGAGATGAATGTATGGAAAACCGAGTTGGAGCGGCTATTACCTCCCGTTGAGAAGTTCTGTGTCGGTGAAACGAAAAATTCTATTTTTTCTGTGGCGGGTGGTAAAAATATGCGCTTATAACATCATCAATACGAACTGTCTTACATCTGTGATATTTTCGTACATAACTGTTAACCAGAAGATTTTGTGGATGGCCTTTTACGAAAAGCATCTTCCACGGAGAAGGCTTTCAAATATAGAAAAAAACCAGTATTCATCTCTCTCCCCTTCCAAGGGGATACAACCACAGAGTAAGGCGTTAACAGATAACTGTGGTAGATAATGTATTTTATGCGGTCAAATTACGTGTCGTATTCACATCTAGACCGAGCTTTTGTTCGTACCTCAAAAACAAGATTTTTGCTTCGGGAACTAACTAACTAACTAAAACCATCACAAGTGCCATAATTTCACACACCTCGTCGAATCCGATCACACAGCAAGTGCGAATGAGGCATTTTCTCCTCTCTGTCATGTTTGGGGTTGGCCAATCTAAGCCGATTAAAATTCGCATCCTAGCTATCGCGGAGGTGGTTGCAATTCATCCACACAGCACATCCAACCTTGAGTACACCAAAACAAACAGTAGCTAGGACCAAGTGTGATAAACAAAATCGGAGAGCATGATCAGCCACATCCGGTATGTGGAACTGCGATAGATAAAGAAAATATCCCCACTTCACTATTTCCCCTTGTTTTTACGCAAAAAAATTATGTGACGTACTAGTCGGGTGACGGATCATCAAAAAACAAGCTTGTTGGCTAAAATGTTTTTGTTTTCAATGTGTGCCGCTGATGCATTCCGTGGGTAGAAACGGTTACGTATACCGATATCCTTCTCTTATTTTATCCGCTTGTAAACCGTGGATCTGTATTTGTCTCATACTTTCGGCACTTAAACTCTGGACTTTTTTACTTGTCACATACCGACGACCTGATACAAAACTTCCTGTCCTATTCTCTACCAAACGAATACCGAATGCTTGCTTTTCCCCCAAAACTGACAGAGTTCAACTGACACGTGTGAGTATACAGATATTGGAAATACATTTGCAATGTTTCCATACCCGCATATCGATTTCTATGATTGAAAACGATTTATTCCCAACTTCCTCTCTCACTGCAATGTTTCTACTTGTCCTGTATGACCATTTGAATTTGCGCCACCTTGAGTGTCACAATTCAATTTGCAGTATTTGAAGACTCACAGTTCAGAATTAAAACAACATTTTAAGCAAGGCAGCATAAAAGCTCAGTCATTTTATTAAATATATTTTTGTCTTATAAGTATATTTATTCTGGTCAATACACGCATACTAAAAAGCTTACGGAGCAAAGTAAATATTCCGATTATTGAATATTTTCTAGCTTGAATAAATTGATAAACTAATTGGCTACAAACTACTCCTGTAAAACCTCTCATCCGAAGAAACAGGGATAGGTTAGCTGCCTCAAGAATGATTGTCGGATTAATTAACAAAATACGGTAATCATAACCCAGAGGCTAGTGCTGAGATGAACGAGGTCTGTGTGGCCCGCAACAAGCTCGTAACGATGGGTTGCGCTAGATCGTGTAAATGGAAAATGAATAAGAGGTCTGATCAGCTGCCCGGTGGCCGAGTGGGTAGTACGCTTGCGTACTACCCATGAGGTCCCGACTATTTGGGTTTTTCACTTATTAAACTCATCGCATTAAACGACTTGCATGCATTTTGAACGGGACAGCATGTGATAAAAATGATATGTTTCCAGTAATTCAACTTATCACAGCTTTCGAACCAGAGTAAAACGGAGGCGATAAATGTTTATGCGCGAGGGTAAGCAGCGAAAATTGGATCGGGTTGTCGCGTGGGTTCGGCAAGCAGATAACTCGGGATTGAGCGGATGACAAGGTTCCTTGAGTATCTTATGAGCGAAATTCTCCCATATGCAAGTTACACAATTTTGTGATCAGAGTGTTTAAAGGAATAAGAGAAACACGGCTGATACTTACCAAACCGCGACTTAGAGTAATGAACAATAAAGTATGATAAACAAAGGAACATACAATTTCATGCCTCACTCGAAACTGTAGTAGCTTGTGTATTCGAAGGGACAGGCGACGCAGCCTATCAACACAAGCAGGCACATGAGAAGATCACCGTATATTGCTACCTATGGTGACTCCTAGGTATTTGGTGGTATGTGTTCTGGTGACGGTTACGAAATTGATGACTGAGGGTTCCAAGGGATAATCGGATAATCGGACTAAACATGCATTCAAAGCATTTAGAAGTATTCAACCGGAGACCAGATTGATTCCAAAATGATTGCACTTGTAGTGAACTGTCGGAAAATGATTCTATGTCGGATTGGTTTGAAACAGACATAGACATAGACATAAGACAACATCATCTGCACACTTAAAGGTCTTGACTGGTGGGACTGAGGGTAAGTCACTGATGAAAGTTGAAAATAGGAAAGGAGAGCGCACAGCATTCTGAAGGACTACAGAATTATTCAAAAATGGTTTTGAAATAGTGCCGTTTGCTTTAGTTCTTTGAATCCTTCCCGTGAAAAAAATAGTTTAACCATAATAACAAGTAGGTGGGGCAACCGAATCACTGTAACTTTTGCGGAAGAAGAGATCGTGGAACGGATTCGAAAGC